GCCTCCGCAGCCGCCGCCGCCTCCACCGCTCGGGGGACATTGTCCCTTTAAATCGCTCCCCCCGCCGCCCCGCCCCCCCGGCGCGCTGCCGTGACCTCAGCGCGACAGCCCCGCTGCGCCGCCATGATGAGGAGGTCCAGGGTGCCCCCCACCACCCCCCTCCCGCACCGCCCCGCGGGACGGGGCGGGGGGTGGGGGGGCGGCGGCCAGCCCGCCGCCATGTTGGGAGTGGCCAGGCGGGTCACCCTTAAAGGGCCCGCGTGGCCTGAGAGTCCAGGGAGAGGCTCCGTTACCATGACAACACCCTTGTCCTCCCGCCCCCAATGGCTTTCCATCACCCACTGGTTCTTCCAATGCTAGGCCCGCTAATATGACCAGAAAAGTGGGAAGATGGCAGACAAGTCTTCCCATCAGTCATCCATAGGTCATCAACTCTACCCAGCCAATCATTAGCCTCTAGACCCCTGCCCCCGACCTGCCAACCACAAACTCACTCTCTCCTTCCCCATTATCCACACCAGGCTTTAGCACCTCCATGCCCTAGGTCCTCAATACTAAACTCCTCTTCTCTACCCAGGATTACAGCCTCCAGGATTACCCCATCATGCACACCTAAGAGGCCCGCTGCTTTCTCCCACCCACCACCCATCCACTGTCCAACCACCCATCCATCTCTCTACCCATGCATCCACATACCCCATCAATCAACTAATCCCATTCAGTCACCTAATCACTCGTCCACTTATCCCTCCAACCACCTATCCATCCATCCAAACACCTACTTGACCCACTCATCCACCTCCAATCTACCTACTCATCCATCCAGCACTCAGCCAGCATCTGACCTTATTAGCCAGTCAGTTATCCACCCTCCCACATCTACTCATCCAAACCCCTGCTCAACCTGGCCCGTCTACCTGCCCATCCATCTCCCCAGCCATTCATCCACACACACAATTGATCAACTAATCCCATCCAGTCAACTAATCGCCCATCCATCCACTCCTCCAACCACCTATCCATCCATTCAAACACCCACTCAAACCACCCACTCAGTTCACCTCCCATCTATCTACTTACTCATCCATCAACCAATCAGTCCACCACTCAACCAGCATCTGATTCAGTCAGTCAGCTATCCACCCTCCCACACCCACACACATCAACCCATCCAAATACCTGCTCAACCCACCCCATCCATCTCCCCACCTATTCTTTCACACACAGCATTGATCAACTAATCCTATTCAACTAATCGACCATCCATCCGCTTCTCCAACCACCTCCCATCTACCTACTCATCCATCCACCAATCCATCCATCACTCAACCAGCATCTGAGCCAATCAACTTGTTAGCTATCTACCCCCCACACATCAACCCATCGAAATAACTGCCCAACCCACCCTATCTACCTGTTCGTCTCCCCACCTAAGCATTTGCCTGTTTATCCATACAACCAAGCAACCACCCGCACATCCCTACATCCATCCTACCACCCAAACATCCATCCATCAATTACGTGGTTGTTAGCCTGTCTCCTCCACTAGAGTGAAAGCTCCGTGGGGACAGGGGTCCTGTCTGTCTGGTTCAATAGTCTTTCCCCAGTACCCCACTCAGAGTCTCAAGAGACCTCAACAAATATATGTACAATATACATAAGCACTTACTCAATTCAAATATTTATTTCCTACTATGAGCCAGGTCTTTTCTAGGCACACGTACCAATCCTGTCTAACAACCTACTCAGCCATTCACCTACCAGGTCAAACATCCAGCAAATGCTAACCTATTCACTCACCTTTTTCCCATTCACCCTACCCCTCACCCACTCACCCACTCACCATGATTCAAACGCACTGATCATTTACGCAACCATTCACGGAAGAACTCAACCATCCCCACACCCACCAACCCACCTCTTCCTTCATCCACCTCCCAAACACCTTCTCCTGTGGCAGATCCATGCCCCCAGTCATGAGGAAGCTCACAACCCCTGCCTGGCTTGGGATTTGAGGACTTAGGAAGATTCTCTCCTCCAGGGTCCGAGGAGTGTTGGGGATGAGATAGGGGCTTCGGTGGGAAGCAGGTGCTACCCATAACAATGATGAGTACTTTTCATTGAACCCCTTTAACTGTGATTCTTCAACTTTGTAAAGAACTTTAGATCCATTTTACAGATGAGGAAGCTGAGGCTCAGGGAGGATGAAGACCTAAGGTCACACAGCTGGTGAGACTCACCTTATATCCATGACACCTCTAATTAGGGCAGAGAGAGCTGAATGGTTGGGGAGTAGAGGTTGCTTTCTGATTGTCAAAGAAACCACAGATTTTACTGAAATCAAGATTTTACTGGACAACCTCATAGTGCTAGACTGGTTGGTGCCTGCAGCTCCACTCCCCACCCTAGGCCACACAGGGTTGATGCAAGGGTCAGACACCTTCGTCGGATGGCCATCTCTCTGCTCCCAGACCACATGGGGCGGGATGGGCAACTCAGGTGGTGTCTCCGTTGGCGCAGGGTGCTTCGAGGGTCAGGGGCTGGTTCCGGAACCCCGGCGTCCTGGGTAGAAGCTGCAAGCTCTGGACTGCATCCCTCAGCTGAGCGTGAGTACTCTCCATCTCAGCCAGGCGGCGCTCCTGGGGAGGCAACGGCGGTGGGCTCGTAGCCAAGAGGGCTCGCACCCCACCCCTGGCTACGCCACTGCGCAGATCTGCGCTCGCCACCCCCCCCCACCCCGGTTCAGGCAAGGGTCTCACCAAACTCTTCAGCCTGTGGCTCTCACTGCTTGGAAGGTCCCGCTCTGGTTCCAGCTGCGAGGTCCTGTGAGGGTAGGGGCGAGGGGCGCAGGTCAGAGGTTGAGGAGCCCCCCTCCAACTCCTCGGTGGAGGGCCAAGGACCCAGGCCACTGCGCTTGGGGTGGGGGCGGGGTTTGTCCGGCTGGGGGGCGGGGCCTAAATAAGCCTGAGGAAGGGGCGGGACCAGCTAACCCACCCTTGGAGGTGGGGCTTGGCCAGTCCTGGGTGGGATCCTCACCGGGATGGGGGAGGGCCCTGACTGAAGGGCCTGGGCCAGCCTGGTCGGAAAAGGTTGACTGGGAGGTGGAGCCTGGATGAGATGACCTGGAGCCCTGGGGGGCAGGGTCACCCTGGAAAAAGGGTGACCAACGGGGCGTGGCTGACCAAGGGCCCGGGGCCTTGCCAGGTGTGACTGGGGCAGGGCCCCAAAGAAGACCCGCGAGCCCCAGGGGGCCGGGCCTTGGCAGGTCTATTGGGGTGGGTCCGTCTGGGGGTGGGACAGGCCAAGGGGCGGGGCCTGTACAGCAGTGCGGGGGGCGGGGATAACTGAGGAAGGTGCTCACCCAGCACCAAGCCTGGCGTTCAGGTCCTGAAGCTGGCCCCGCAGATACTCCTGCTGCTCTTCCATGGCCCGGACCTGGGCGACCAGCGCCTCCACGAGGCTGGACAGCTCTTTCTGCTCCTCGCGAACAGCGGCCACCTCGCGCTGCAGCTCGGCCAGCTGTAGGGAAGGAGCAGCTGTCACCTGCCCCTTCCACTCCCTGAAGACCCTGACTCCTAGTCCCGCGTGCTCCACCTCACCACCGCCCTGCCCCGCTAGGGAGCGTTGCTCCCATAATACAAAGGAGGAAACTGAGGCTCAGAGAGGGCCCAAGGTCACACAGCACAGTGAGCTCGGTATTTGAATCTGCAGTGGTTAAGAGCTCGGCTGCTAACCAAAAGGTGGGCAGTTCGAATCCACCAGCCACTTCTTGGAAACCCTATGGGGCAGTTCTACTCTGTCCTATAGGGTCCCTATGAGTTGGAATCGACTCCACGGCAACGGGTTTTTATTTTTGTTTTGGGCCTTCAGCCTTTTTCCCAGCCCCCACCCCTTTCAAGCCCGTGCGCGGACCTGGGCCAGACCTCACCTTGCCCAGGGGTCGGTGCTTGCCCGGCGCCTGATCCCCGTCCCGCGGCTGATCCAGCTGGCGCTGCCAGGGCACCGACGACTTACGAGGCAGAGAGGCGGAGACCCCGGTCCAGGGCCTGCTGCGGGGCGTGGGACCCGTGCGCAGGGATCCCTTGGGCCACGGCCGGGGCCCTACCGACGGGCGGCGGTGGGCGGGGCGGCCGGCAGGGACGCTTTGCGTGCGCTGCACTGGTCTGGGCCGCCGTGGGGGCCGCTCCTCTTCTGGCCGCGGCTGGGCCCAACCGCCCGCGCCGCGGTCGCTGCGCAGGGACTGGCTCTTGGAGATAAGGGGGGTGTGCTTGCAGAGGTCCCGGGGGGCCAGGAAGCCGGGCTTCTCCCCTGCAGAGAAGCTGGGGGTGGCGGTGGGAGATTCAGACCCTCAACTGGCCTCTAAACTGACCCTATCCCGACCTCTGGCAAAAATGACCCCCCAACAAAAACCAAACCTATTGCTGTGGAGTAGATTCTGGCTCATGGCAACCCCTTGTGCTACAGAGTAGAACTGTTCCATGGGGTTTTCTTGGCTGTAACCTTTACGGAAGCAGATCACCAGGCCTTTCTTCCGTGGTACTGCTGGATGGGTTTGAACAGGCAACCTTTAGGTTAGTAGCCCAGCATTTGCACCACCCAGGGACCTAGAAATGACCTTACCCCTAATCTTTTATTTCTATGTGACCCTGTCCTTAATAGGATCCTGTTTTGCTCTCTGACCCTGTCCTTAATTTCTGACTACAAAACGATCCTCAATATGGTCCCCTCCATGACCTGTGACATGATTTCAATCTAACCTTCTCTAACTTTGTCCCTGACCTCTGACACAATGGGACCCTTGACCTGACCCTCTCTGTAACCTCTCATTCCAATCTGACCCTGGGCCAGACTTCTGCTCACAAGGGCACCCTGTTGCTTCCCATCATGACCCCCATCCCCTCTCTAACCTCTGACCTTGAACTGATACTCTTCCTGACCTCAACAGAACATACTCCTGATGTCTGACACCAAATATGACCCTGATGATAACACTTGACATAACCCTGACCCATCTTCTGACCCCCATCTGACTCTGGGCCTGACCTCTGCTTACGAGATGAACCTGTCCTTGATCCCTAATGACCACATCTTAACATCTGACCCCAAATTGACCCCTGATTTGATCCTGTCTCCAACCTCTGCCTGAGACCCGACACTCGCCTCTGACCACATCATTTTCTCTCTCTGACCCTAGATGTGACCTCTCCCTGACCTCTGACACGACCCTGTCTTTAGCCTCTGACCTCTGTCCAACACTCTGTCTGACACTGACCCCATTGTGACCCTGCCCCTGTTCCCTGACACGATCCTGTCCCCACCCATCAGAATGTGGACCAGACTTGAGGCAGGTCAGGTTACCTGGTGTGGACTTGGGCCCGGGGTGGTGGGAGACGCATTGGCACCGACACAGGCACAGGCCGGCCCTCCTCGATGGCTTGAAGGATGGTGGGCAGAGGTTCCAGGCTGTCCCGGGTGGCCTGGTGAGGCATGCAGGGAGGATGCTGAGAGGCTCTCTGGGGCCAGAGGTTCCCTGCCTTCTTGCCTCCCTACATGTTTCCTGCATTCAGGATTCAGGCCACACCTGGTCAAGCTCAGCAAAGATGGTGCAGAGCTGGGCATGCAGGACTGCCAGCTGGTGGGCCAGGTCGCTGCCGCCTTGGTAACTACTGGGTGCTGCGTCCACATCAACTGTGGCCACCTGGTCCAGAAAGTGTGCCATGGCTGGTCCTCGATCCTCCAGGAAGCTATTCATGAAGCCCATGTAGGCCTCCTTCTCACCAAACCTAGGTAGGGCCGGGCTGAGTGGGTCAGGCCAGGCACCAGTACTTCCCCTCCCCCCGCCTAGATGCACCCCCCCGCCCACCCGCCCAAAGCCTCCCAGCACCTACGGGGCACGGTTGGCAAGGTTCTGGATAACCTTGGCGATCAGCGTGAGGGTGCGGGCTGGGCCAGGCGCCGGATGCTCTGGGGCCAGGCCAAAGAGGCTAGGTGACAGGATGGCAGGGCACAGAAGTCGCAGGAAGAGGGAAGCACACACCAGCCTTGAGCCCAGCGCCTCAGAGCCACGTGCTTTGCATGCTTCCCGCCAGCCTGAGAACACGGTGCCAAGCTCCGCTGGGAACCAGCTGGGGCAGAAGAGACACTGGTCAGAGGGGGAGGGTATGGGCATAAAGGTCATGTGTGGTTAAGACCATGAGGTCAGGGATCCGCAGCCACTTGTGATCTGGATTCCAGAATTGGGGCATCTGGGATAATGATGCTTGGGGTTATGGGTCTCCTTGGGGTTAGGGTTTATGGTGTAGTGATGGGGAACCCTGGGGTCTGTAACCTTGGAGTTGGGCATACAGTGTCACAAGGAGACAGAGTTTGTGAGCTTGAGATGTAGATATAATTGAACATAAGATTGGGGTGCCAAAGCACATGATATGAAGTGGGATGGGATTGGGGTACAGGGTCATCTATTGTCAGAAGTCATGAGAAGTCATAATGTCCCCAGTTGCCTTGGGATTAGGCATACAGGTTCACCTACTATCAGAAGTCAAGGGATTGGAATCCCAGGATACCTGTGATCAGTAAACATGGATTTGGGGTTCAGGGTCACTTAAGGTTAGGGTCATGGAGTTGGGGGTATGGTGTCACCTGCAGTCAGAGGTTATAGGACTGAGGTACCATGTTAACTGGGGTCAGGTGGCATGGAATTGGGGTATAGGGTCACCTAGGGTTGGAGGACAAAGTATTGGGTCCCAGGTTACTTGGGGTCAGGTGGCATGGCATGGGGGGTAGGATTGCCAGATTTAATGAATAAAAATTCAGGACACCCAGTGAAACTTGAATTTCAGATGAACAAGAGGTAAGTTTTCGGTATACGTATGTCCCAAATATAGGTCCTTGGGTGGTGCAAATGGTTTACGCTCAACTGCTAACCTAATGGTCGGGGGTTTGAATCCACCCAGGCATACTGCAGAAGAAAAGACCTGGCAATCTACTTCCGTTAAGATTACAGCCAAGAAAACCCTGTGGAGCAGTTCTACTCTGTAACATATGGGGTTGCCATGCCATGAGTTGGAATCGACTTGATGGCAACTAACAACAGCAACAGCAACATGTCCCAAATATTGCACCAAATTTAACTAGGTGTCCTGTATTTCATCTGGTAACCTTATTTGGGGGCCGGGGTCAGCACAGTGACTGAGCACAGGGGTAGGTGCAGGTGCTGGGGCCCCTGATTCTCACTCATAGGAGTGGACGATGTTCTCGAAGACATCCTCACAGCCTTCTCGCAGTCTGACCTGGTGCTGGGGCAGCTCGGGCAACCGACACTTGCTGGGGTCCACCTCGCAGTCCTCAGTGGAGGCACAGAGACGCCGCACAACCTGCCCTGCAGCCCAGCACAGCCAGAACGGGTCGGGGCACATGACCACAGCACCTACCACACCCAGCCCTCCAACTCTATCTCCAACTCACCCTGGAGACACCTAACATCTCTGGGAGTCCCCAGTCCCCACTCCAGGATCCTATTGCTACTCACTACCAGAGTCTAGGTTATCAAGGACCCTCAGCCCACCCAGTAGGACTCTGACATCCACCCCTCAGCTCACCTAGGGTCTCCTGGAGGTAATCCTGTGCCACCAGCTTCATGTACTCATCGATAGCTTTGGTGGCCAGGGTGTTTTCCCGGAACAGCAGCGCCTCGCGGCCTCCACAGCGGGCCAGCTCTGCGGTGCCCAGGTCTGTCACCAATGCCTGGGCAGAGCAGGAGGATGGCAGGGCGTAGACTGAGCTGCGGGAATCCAGGCCCTAGGCCCACGCCTCACACCTGGGGCTCAAGCCCCGCCACTTATAGCTGCCGCGCCCATATTGCTGGAGCTCACAGCAGGCTGGAACCCCTCACAGCAGAAAATTGAGCCTTTTAGACCTGCGGCCCCGCTCAGGCTCTGCCCCTCGCAGCTGCCCCGCCTCTCACTGGTTCTCCTTAGGCTCCACCCATCTCAGCTGACCCACCCCTCATAGGTGATGCTTAGCTTCTGCCCCTCGAAGCTATTGCTCTAAACCTACTCTAGCAGCTGAAGCTCCGGCTCCGCCGCGCGCAGTTGACGCCCGGGCCCCGCACTTCACGAGTGACACTCAGGCCGAGCCCCTTGCAGTGACCCGCTGCTTATAACTTGCTCGGCTCCCGCCCCTGGCAGCTGAAGCTTAGGCCTCGCCCCTCGCAGGTGCTACTCAGGCCCTGCCCCTCGAGCCTACCCGTCCCTTGTAGCTGACTCGCTCTTTATAATTCATGCTCAACCTCGCCCCTCACAGGTGAAGCTCAGGACCCGCCCTCAGGGCGCGGTCGGCCCACCCCGGGACCCCCAGGTCCGCACCGTCGCGGAGCCGCACCTGCGCCCGGCCGGTGGCCCGCAGCACGCGCACCATTGCGGCGGCCAGCTCCTCCTTGGCCTGCGCGGACAGCGCAGACTCCAGCGCCCCGCAGAGGCGCGCGTAGTGGAAGGTGAGGAACTCCGCCAGCTCCTTGTAGCGCTCGGACGGCAGCACGCGCAACCGCCGTGCCCGGGCCCGC